AGCCACGTTATTCTTATTGCAACGTGGATAAACCGTATTACCACTATTTTGTTACCATTATAATAATCATTATAACTGACGTCCAAAACATTTACCAATTTATTACTATTTGATCCACAAAATTACCGTCATTGGTTAAATATTTTATATATAAATCTATGTGAATTAGAGTAAAGCCTGAATGGGATCAAATGAAAAAAATACTGTTCGCTTATTTGTCTTGTTTTGATGACATTCCACTTCCACATTTTCCATCTCACAGAGAAAGTGTATACTTCAGTGGTTAAATGTGACAAAACGTTAAAACTAATAAGTTCACAGTTAGTCTTTCCTGTACAAGAGATATATAATACTGAATGGAATCTGAATTAAAAGTTGATTCTTTCGGACACCTGTAATGTTGGCAAACAAAATCCACTTTTTATATTAGAGCTTAACAAGACACATCACTTAAAATCGTAAAATGTAGACTGTGTAAGATGTTCAACAGACATTCGGTAAACCACTGGTACCAATGACTCGGTAGAAGATAAATTTTCGAAAGTAAAACAGATAAAACTAAGATTAGTGACTCAGTTGAGAAAATAGCTTATTCATAGCACCAATTAACTATTCTTCTTCCTTACAGAAGCAGCAACTTAGCCGAATACAGTTGACATGAAGCGCAAAGATGGATAAACAGACACATTTATTTAACTCAGAAAACAATTCATAGTACCGGTAATTAACAGACAGAGAAGACAGGGCTGCAGGTGAACATAGAGAAGACGGTGGTGATGAAGATGACCAACTAACCGCAACAACAATAACCAGCACCAATTATCATCAACGGGAGAAATCTGAAAGAGGCTAATTCCTTCACTTATCTAGGCAGCATCGTTTCAACTACAGGCACGCCGAACAGATGAAGATGTCAAAGCCAGTCAGAATCGGAAGGGCAAGATACACCTTCATCAACCTGAAACCAATTTGGAAATCTTCTGCACTTCGTCACAGCATAAACAACAAGATTCGGATTTTCAACACAAATGTGAAGTCAGTCAGCTCTTCTATATAGGTTAGAAACTTGGCGCATCACGAATGAACATTTCCAACAAGTTACGGACTTTTATCAACAACTGCACACTTCGCTGGCTCCATACAGAAGGTAAAATGGTCGGCCAACCAGAAAGAATTAGCAACAAGAAACTCTGGTTGGGAACAAACCAACCAAGAGTCGATCGCTCAACAAATATATAGAAGAAAATGGAGATGGGTCGGGCATACGTTGAGGAAGTCGTCGAATGACATAGCGCGCAATGCAAGCCATAGCTCGAGTGGGATCCCAATGAGAAGCAACGAGTGGGTCGTCCTAGGGTGACATGGAGGAGACTGTATGGTGGAGGAGGAGATGAGGGATTATGGGCAGTCGTGGAACCAGTTGAAGAGAATAGTAGAAGATAGGAAGAAGTAGAGGTGTGTTGTTGAAAACCTATATTCCACTCGGAACCTAGACATAATTTGTAGAGAAATTTGTTTGCTATCCGATTACTTGTGTGGGTACCGTACTATTTTGATGACACTTAATTGACAGAAACAAAAACTGAGACAACACTGGTAGTATTTGTCCGAACCAAGTTCACTTTTAACACCGGCAGTATCTCTAATAAGAAGAGGTCAGTAACTTCAGTCAGGACGTTTCACTTTGTTTGCTTCTATTCACAGACAGAATTCAGGAAGACTGTCCAGAATCAGTATGTATCAAAAACTAGCATTGATTTGGGCAGCCTAACCGCCCTGTTTTGATAATTAAGCTTAAGCATAGTAAATTCTTCAGCTGTGGTCTTCATTTCAATCATGTTGGAAAGGGTCTGCTTCGGTTTTCTGAAATTTTGAAAATATGGGGTTGCAGATCACATTCGTGTATCTAAAAACAAATTTCTTACTTATCTTTAATCAACGTTTCATTCCTTATGGTCAACTGTCTTTTTTAATTTTTCTTTATATTTTGTACCTTAAATTAAAGTACAAATACCTGGTTTCTTCAGTACTGCTAACATCTTTATTTCAACTCACACTTAACAAACTACCACGGTCAAATGGTGTGAAACTTTTTACATAATATGCAAACTTTTTTTATCTTCTTGACTGTATCCAATTAAGGAGCACAATATCGGTGTTAAACATGCCTGACTGTATAAGAAAGGCTGCTAAGTCACTCAAAAATCCAATGTCTTTTGAGTGGACTAGTACTTGATATATTTAATCTAATGCATTTCAATACGCTAGTATTATTATATGTTATTATTGTTTCCTTTAATTCCTAGAGGAACACAGGGCTTCAGCCGTGCGTCTCCATTGCGTTCGGTTCTCTGCTAGAGTCTTCACCTGGCTCCATGTCTGCCCACACGTTTTCATCTCCTCTTCACATGACCTCCTCTAAGTCACCCTTGCACTGACGACCAACTCGCCGCTTCCCTTTCGGGTTCCACTCGAGCAATGGCTTGTCTAGTGATGTCACTTGATGGTTTCCTCAGAGTATGGCCAGCCAATCAATCTCCATTCCTTCCTGCCTATTTGTTTCACAATCAGTTCCTGGTTGGTTCGCTCCCAGAGATCTCTGTTGCTGATCTTTTCTGGACATCTGATCTTGAGTGGTATTGAGCGAAGACAACTGTTAATGAAGGTCTGTAGTTTGTTTGAGGTGCTCTTTATGACGCGCAGTGCAAGTCTCTGATCCGTATAGTAGCACTGACTTCACATTGGAGTTGAAAATTCGAATCTTATTTTTGATGCTGAGTGCTGTTGACCTCCAAACAGACTTGAGAGTAGTGAAAGCTTGTCTTGCTTTTCCGATTCTTGCTTTGATATCCTCATCAGTTCCATCTTCCTGTAGTTGAAACGATGCTTCCCCAGAACGGTAAGTAAAAGAGGTTGTTTCTTTCAGGTTCCTCCCATTTATGCTGATCGTTGTCTGTTGTTGTTGTTCTTGTCCAAGAATCTTCATCACCTATGTTTTCTCTATGTTCACCTGAAGTCCTATCTTTGATGCTTCTTCTGCCAACTTGTTGCTTTTCGCTTGCATATCTTCCAGTTTGTGGGAAATCAGACACATATCATCGGTGAAGTCCAGATTCTCCAATTTTTTTGCATCAGGGCCTTCGTTGCCGTTGGTGACATCATAATAGCCACGCCCTCGCTGTGCATGTGGTTATCCTCTGGGTGACTGGAGTAGATCACTGACTCACCCGTTGACAATTTGGTGAGTCCATTCCCGTTCCATCTGCTCTCACATATCCCCAGTACTTGAAATCCGTATCTTTTCATTTCGTTTGCGATCTGGGCAGCTTTGCCAATCTCGTACATGGTGTGGACATTCCATGTCCTCACAGAAAGTTTTTTCTTTTGGCGCAAGGAGATTCATCGTGCTGAAGTTTCTGTAGCAACTTTGTTTGCTAGCCTCAAGCCTGAGAAGGGGATTGCTACATTAAATTATAGTCTAGAGAGAAGCGACCTTGTGGGTTGCTCCCCTTAAAACCAGGAAAGCAAGGAATAAAACAATCAGAACAACATCAGCACAGGAAAATAATTCACAACAAGAAGGGTAACAAGCGACAGCAACAATAATAATATCACAGTCAAGTACAGTTAACCAAAATGATACCAAAATCATAGACTCACTGACTTGAGCCAACTTGAACATGTAAATCCATCAGTATATACAATTATAGATATTAGTTAGTGTTAAACAAGCACAGAGTGGCAAATAGATAGTTATAGATATTATACGCTAGTAACATGTCTTATACCCGCAGCTATGATATACAATCAATCACCATATTTAAATATTATTGGACACAGTTTAAGAATTCAGTAACAAAAATTTTAAATTTAGTCAATACATTTGTTGCTTGTGCTGCTGGTAAGATTTATCAGTAGAATATAAAGAGATTTTCATCGGCATAAAAATATCAAATAGTGGAGAGATGGATTTGACGTCAAAAAGAGATAAAACGAACCGGCGTTGCTACAATACATGGGAGACGCTAAAAGAAGCCAAATAAAAACAATACGAAGGAGGGGCAGAAGTAACACGACATGGAAGATCCTTGCAAATGATGATTTCCACATAAGGTGTGCGTACTTTCGCTATATAGTGACACCAAATTCAAAAGAAACATTCCTTTACGAAATTGCTTGTATTCTTCTGTTACACAGTCATATTATCTAATTATCATAATGTAAGATACAGATATGAAATACCTACAGATATATTCAACAGCAGCTTATACCATGTGTCTCTAAGTGTATGCCGAACCATTCGCAGAATACACCGGTGTGTGGATGATATTTCACATACTAGAACAGACATAAACAAAGAAATATTTCAGACACAACGTAAGTTACATGTGAGAACGACGAATATATAGCTGTGCTCAACATTCATGTAAAAGAAAGACGTGATGATCGTGCAGAATCCAATTTATCCTCCAGTCAACATTGCACTTCAGTTTCTCAGGAAAAGCAGTAACTGGAAAAAGTCTGTTTCCCCAACTCAATATTTACAAAATGTAATAACTGTCCGCTATAATCAGTCGGATAGGTTATTTATAGATGAGAAGTTTTCTCTGATAGATGCGGAAAATCTCTGTCTGCTTGGACATGTATTTTATATATATGTATATGTACCATGGCGATCAGCGCACACCGTACTAAAAGAGGTCCCGTGATTGCGAAGTTTTATAATTGCCTACCTCCCTTCATCCTGTAGGATCTTAGTGGAACACACAGCTTCAGTAGCACATCACCATTTCAATCTGATCTCTGCTGGCTGTATGACTGCCTGCCTATAAGGAGCTTTCACTTCCTCCTTGCACGTTCTTTTCCATGTTACCTTCAGACATACAATCATAATGTGCAAGGTCTGAAAAATATTCATAATGAACAAATGACTAAAAACAATTAATTCCACAATATATATATTATACATATGTGTATATATAAAAGATATAAAAAAAATTACCATGGAAAGACGTGTACAACATTCTTAGTTAAAAAGGCATCCAAAATCAATGCAAAAAAAATTAGTTAAAAATGATAAAACAGCTAAAGTATTCACAGCTTTCTGTAATTTTCTACATAATTTGAAATATGCTTGAAAAAATAAAAGAATGTAGTACGTAATCGATACAAAAAAGAAAATAAATGACGAATTTATTAACTTGTTCACAAAGCAACAATCAGGCTCTCTGTTAGTCAAAACATCACTAATGGTTAGTTCTGAAACGGAAATTAATTAGAGAGTATTAACATAAAGTTGGGAAAGCATGTAAGATAGGCATAATAGAGCGATTTCAAAGGCATGATCCTATTGTCACCACTTTTTTCTCTTTCACAGAATAGACGGTTTCCAACGAAGATTTCGATTTTTACACGCATCATTCCACCAAACGGATACATCTGAAACCCAGTGCGGCTTTACATGTTGAATTGTATGTGCTAATAGGCATATTTCACACTGAGGTTCTCCATGCCAATTTGAGACTTCTCCATGACCACGCCAAGCAAAGTATTCATTGTATGCAGTATTGTTCCTATCTAGATACCTTAAGTATTCTGCAAGTTCTTTTGGTGATTCAAATTGATCCACGTGAATGAAAGAATGTGGAGGTGCTAGTGCTTGATATTCTTCAATCGAAGCTCCCATCACAATAGGAATTATATCATTTCTGTGATAGATAAGATTACAAATTATATAAATAAAATTTGTTGTGAATATCAAAAACAGCATGTAAGAACACAATTCGCTAAACTCCACACACCCATATATATATATATATATTCTTTTATGTTCTTTAACTAATCACTGAGCTTGTGATTTTGGTTTACATTAAGCGACATGAAATAGAATGTTCAAATATATATAGTATTCTGTTGCTAGTGCACTGTGGTGATAGTATTCAGACTCTAACACTAACACAAACAGTGATTCTCCCTGTGAGAACAATATTCCTTTGGAACCCACTGTCTGTATCATACCACCACACAAGAAGATACGACTAATAACCAGTGCTAAAATCGACAAAAAGTAAGTCGATTCAATTGTTTTGATTCTACTGCTCCTTCATTTTATTTTAAAAGATTAGAACTTCATTAGCATTACGTTGTATTACTTTGTAGAGAACTAGTTGATCGAAGATCGTATTTTTTATGACGTTTACAGTGAAATATAACAACTGAATTAGGACAGTAATTCCAACGTTTCGTTCGGCAATCTGGTCCGAACTTCTTCAGGCAAATTAATCAAAATTAACATAACAGAGGTTTTTTATATATAAAAGGCACATCTTTTGTTTTTAAAAACTTTGTCCAATTATGATTCATAAAACAAGTATTAACAAATATAATAAACAAAATTGTATGAGCTGTGTTCAAAATTTGACCTCGGACATACAAATATTGGTCTACCTTTGTTAAACACTTTAAACAGAGTGTGCATGCGTGTGTGTGTAAACAGTTGTAAAACATTTCTTAACGTCTCCATAGGAAGATATAGACAGTCAGGAATTTGACCAAGTATTATTAATTAGTCATACATATCCATTATTATTTATTAATCAGGATTTCCTATGCATCAGCTAACATCTCGCCTACATGTCTCTTCAAACTGCTAGTATCTAGAATTTTATGATCAGACGTATTTTCAAAATTATGGTGTTTAGGATTAGAGTTTAGTTTAAGCGCCCTGTCGAACTTATTGCATTGTCTTCTTTCTGAATATTGAGCTGCCGAACGAAACGTTGGAATTACTCATTTCAATATCTCTGAGATTTTACAAATATAATTTTTACAAATATCTCATTCTCACTCGGCGCCCAAATATTTTAGAACTATTCTGTCAAATCTTGACGACAGTTCATTTGAATGGATTAGGACAGTTTGATTCAATTAAATTTCACTACACTTGAAGGTTACCACTACGATATCTTATTTACTGTTGAATGTTATATTCATAGCTTATAAAGTTGCATGGAAAACTCTAAAATATTCCAGAAAGGCAAGGTTACTATCTCTGTTCAAATGAAATGATAGCATTCAGTTATATCCGGTTTCCAATGCTTATGAAATATAGCGAAAGTAAGCTTACTCCGTGCTGAAGGATACTGTCAGAATGACAAATTTAATGAAAGTTGGAGTAGCAGCTCCAAAATATTTGTCTTTACAACTGTTGGAAAATCAGACAGTTTTCACATATCCTTTAGCTTTTGCAACAAAAGATGCTTTGACCAGAGTGAGAAGCTGGTCATGCTTTGATTAAGTGTCTCTTGTGGATTACACCAACCAGAGATCCTAATACTAATGTGTGGATGTGAATCGAGTGCCGTATAACCATACTATACTAATAAGGACTCAGTGTCAAGATTCACATGCTACATAACAGACTAAGTAGAGAGGTGGCTTTTCAAAAACTCCATGTACTGGATTTCCTTAATAAATAAATCTAAACCAAGTAAAGCTATCCACTAGAATAACAGCAAAGAAATGCCATCCAACAGTACTCCGTTTAAACATATTTCGAACTTGTCCCAGACACGGTGTTTGATCTACCAAGGAGTCCATGGTGTACATACAGAAGTTATCGTTAGACAGTAGCTCTGGCAAAATACAGAATCCCCTAAGAATCTCAGGCAGAACTTTGAAGATATTCACCATAAGATTTACATCTGCTACTGATAATTTTATTGTTCCACGATTAGTCCACATCTGCTTCTATTTTTGGTTGGATGTGCTGACTTTTTCACTCCTTTGAGTTATTTTAGCGGTATGCTTATGCAGTCTGAATACGGCCTGTTAGGTATGATTACTGAAACAAGTGTGAAGAAATTACGCATGTTCAATTAGAATCTTTTGATGAAAACGACTAGCTTGGAATGAAGCTGATTAATTAGGAACAAGTAAGAAAATTTAGGCACAAACAGTACGTCATTCTAGCGTTTGCAGCTCAAACTGCTGTTTACAAAAACACATGGTACTTTTCAACTTGATGAAAAGCTGCTATACTGACATAGCTAGAACGACTGTACTTGCAAGCTTTGAAACATAGTGAAGATATTTTGGATGGAGGTAAAATTAATAGTATTAATCGTCACGGTGTAAGTTAGTTATGAGTTGGTAGAGATTTCCTGGAGAAGCTAAAGAAATCAGATGGCAATAAAGTATCTTCCATGCACAGTTCAGTAAGCCAGCTATGCGGTATTCATACTGTGGAGAAGAGAGGCTACAATAAATCTGTATATCTTAACTATTTCTGTTGTCGTAGTAGAAATACGGTTCTTCAAACAGACAAAACACAAATCCTAATACCTATAATAACAGACATACTAGCAGTCATTTTTTGAGCATGTGTTGTCTGTTTATATAACACGTATAAGGAGTGCACGTGTGATCATTCGATTAATCCACTCTCAATTAAAGTCATCCAGGATCCATTGGCTAGTTTCCAGGCTTTATGGGTAAATGTACAGCATTAAGTTGTAGATTAAAAATGATACTGCTTGCGTAGACTCCAGTTTACAATCTCATATGTACGCTTGAACTAAATGGAGCTTTTAGATCTAAAATGTATTATAACATTAGACGACGTCACTTTGTCACCTTTGTTTGACGAAGTGTAGTGTGAATTCTAGTGAAAACTGCCAGTTCTACAGAAAAATGACAAATGTTCAGATGTGATTATCCTGGTGGCTGCTATTGCATCAGCAGAAAGCCCAAGACAGACAAAAAGAAATTAAACTGATAATTTCGAGGTTACAAACTAATGAACGGACAGTAATGATCCCTATTCAGAGTATAAAATGATGACCTTTTCGCAGCTAGCATTCATATAAAGCATAAATATATACTGCATCTAAAGCAAAGGTAGGCTTCAACACATACACTTCCTCATAGCAATTCACTGAAACGTTTTTTTAAAGGTTAAGAGAATGAAACAGTTCTATAATATATAAGTTTATTTTATAATGACACATTTATGCAGCAGTGATAACTGGATGACGTTTCAAGCATAGTTTATTGCTACTCATGAGCATATCAATGTATTCATACTTTGCCAAGAATAATTAGACAGTCCTTGTTCATAGAATCAACAACAAACACGTGCAACCAAAATGGTGCAACCACCCATCCAAAATATATAGAAAGTTGCAATAAAAAAACAGAGAGGAGATGAAAGTAGATAAACCAAGTAATGAAGCAGTATGAATACACTGATATGATTATGAGTAGCAGTACACTGTACTTGAAATGTTATTTAGTTATCAACACTGTGTGTTAGTCATATCGCATAAGCCTAAGTAATGTATTTTACTACATTGCCCCAATTCTACACTTACACTAAGAATTAAACAATGTTTTATCTTTGAGATTTGTGAGATTTCGTATCTTTTTTTTTAAAAAAAAAGGCAACTAAACAACTACTGGTGAACTTTGTGCAGTTAGCAGAAGTTTTCAGTAATAATTAATGAATAATTAGCTTAAAAACTCACTTACTGTAATGCATTTCTGTAGAACTTTTCTGTTACATAATATTTACATAAACTGTTTTCAAAACTCAAATAGAATTTATACTTTTCACGAAGTATTTTGAAGCATGACTCTTCAGATAATCTAGGACACTTCTTTGAACCACATTCACCATATATATCAACCTGTAAGTGAACAATGATAACAATTAAAAATATGATTAATAATAGTGCAAGGACTGAGTCATATTCATGTTCGTGGTATGATTAGGATAAACATTGCAAGAGGAAAACTAAATCTGCAAATAAAACAAAGACATGGAAATAATGATATCAATAAACATGAAGATGGTTATCAGGCAACACGTGTTTTAGAAGTAAATTGAAAATACGTTTTCAAGAGTTGATTTGTTTATCGATTTTGACCACAGATTGATATCAGTTAGAGAACCATTGAAAACCAGGGAGTACTCGACAGCTGTTTCATGCTAATTTGGAGTTCATCAGTAGTACGCACCCACTGGACCTTCCGGTTACAAGGCAAGATAGCTTGTATACCATTTAGCCACTGGGACTCGATTCATAGGCCAGTTCATGATTTCTAACTTCTACCAATGCGGGATTTTAACGCGACCAAATACATTATTGACCAGTCTGTATCTCTGAATTTTCTATTCCACAATACATCCATTTCTACAGAGATCCATCTTCCGTTAATCACACAACACTTAAGACTACAGGCAAACATTCAGACATATCTGTCTATATTTTATCAATTTCCCTACCATATAACCACTAATGTAGTGAATTAGTACAGACAATAAGTCATAGTGCAAAAAGTGAGCAGCAACTACCTGAAGCAAACCAGCTGCATAGTCTAATTAATTGTTGTAAATTACATGACATATTGTTTTTGCATTCAACTTCTAAAATTTTCCATACACCATTCAATTAACTGGAGTCAAACACCTGATACTGCTTAAAGTTCTTCACCTTTGTTTAGAAAGCGTATGCATCACAAAGTTTTGAAATTTTTACTCTGTATAGGGCATATGGCTGAGACATCAGAATTGCATAAAGACTTACACAGCTATATTCTTACCAACATTTTCTTAGTTAACCTACATGATCAACTGAAATACTCAGGTAAAAACGGGTAAATTAGTTAGAATATTTAACAACTAAGGTTTCTGCCATAAGAATAACACTTGGGCACCGTAGTAGAGTATATTCCATTTACTGATTAGTAAATATTGTTGTGAAACCTTATCAAAATAAATTTCCCCCACAATGGAATTTGGCGTTTACTGTCAATCGCAGCAGATAAAATGAGAAAAACTGATAGCCTTCGCTATTTTTCAGCAGTTTTACCAAGCCAAAATGTGATTTTTACACAAATTGGTTCTAATGAACAACAGCTAAAAAACAACCATGATTTCCACAAAGTCCCAAGTGTAATCTCGACAAATACACTCACCATAACAGATGGAAATACAGGGACTTAACATCTATGACACATACTGCTAAATAAGCTGATTTCAGAAAGCTGTCTGTTGTGAGTTGGTAATTCTCAAGTTTTGGAAAAAGTACCTCACAAGAACCAATGGTTGATGAATAAAAACAAATCTCATGAATTGTGAACTTCCTTGAGTGGTATTAGGCGACCCACTAATTAAACTGCAATCTTCTTTACACGACAGCAGTTCAGCTAACAGATTTTTAAGACTGCCTCAACAGAAGTGTCAAGCCCAACCACCAAGTCAGTTTAGTGGCCCTCATTGTATGCAGAGTTGATGCTACCACTACTCTCAATAACCGTATCAACTAATCTAGACAATGTTCACTAACACCTGATGGAATAGCGACTGGTGATGTAATCTGGAGAACTATTATGAGAAATAAGTGGAAAAATACAGAGCTAATCCACAAATAATGCGAATACAACTAACAATAGAAAGTTTCGAAATCAAAACTCATCTGAATCAAATATGGTAGTGATTTTGTTGAAAGATTAAGGAAAACTCTGCAACTGACCTCTACAGTTCGTGTGTCACCTCAACAAACATCATTTTAATTCAATATTTTCACTGATTGCTAAAATTGCAACATACATACAAACACAGTTGTTATCATATAACCTAATCCATATGCAAGTAAAATTGTTCTGCTCAGTGAAGAAATATTCCTTTTCAAGGACTTCATTTTCAAGTTGTACAGTCGTATTTATATTACTTTAAAAGACATCAAATGGTACTAAAAATTGCCCAGTCAATACACATATGATGATGAATATAAAGATAATTTTAAGGAAGTAGAGATGAAGCAGATGAATTACTAAACAGATGGACTGGTATTAAGATTTTAAAAGTAGGAAAAGCGTTGTCAAAACTTATAAGTTCGATGATACCAACAATAGAGAAGGCGAAGATGAAGTGAAACGGAATTAATTCAAGTGGTAAAGCAGAACAAAACATTACTAAGTTAAAGAAAGGGGTTTAGCGAAACGTTTTTGAACACATCATTTAAGTTCCTGTTCATGTATAGTTAGAGCTTTGGCTATGCATACGTGGAGGAAACGCAAGCTTTTGGAGTGGTTGGATCTGGTCCTGTATATAACTTTCAAGGATAAATCCCGTGGGGCTGAATGACCTGAATTCAGAAGGTGTTTCTAAATTGGAAACTTCAACATCACGTGCTCATCTTTTATTGACGAAACTGGCTAATGTTCAGCTATGCGTCTCCGGAGAATACGCACAAAAAATGCAATATAATCAGTTCCTTGCGGGCATGTGAAAGAGTATATGCACAAAGAGGTGGAGAGAGGCGTAAGTTTATCATTGACGCACTGTCGAATCATATTTCGGCTGGTGAATACTAAATGTATGTCAGCTGCATAAAAAGAGCTTGTAATAGATTTAGATTATAAAGATTATAAATTTCCAGACCGTAGATGTTACGAATTTCCTGGAATAATTTGAGCGCCGATTCAGTCATTTAAAATGACTTTTAATCACTTCAGCAATAGTGTTACCTTTGAACGCGAAACTCGTAAACATTGTATTATTTTGTACTGTGATTTGGCTAGAGATGGTTCCTTTTCTGATATTTCTTTCAGTTTCCGATGTACCTTCCTTGACTACACAACTACCCAGATGCTTTTTGTTAAATAGGCTTTCCCTGACACAATCCCAGTCCTTGGCTGTTAACTAGCTGCATTCTTATGTCTCCAACAGAATGCAGTATACTGTATATTAAGGCGGATCTTCCTCTGTCTTACTTGTTGAAGTTGGAGTCCCTCAAGGTATAGTTCTCTCTCGTTTTCTTTTTTCCTTTTTCTTACATGACTTACCTCTTTCGGAAGAAATCGACTTTGTTAAATATTCTCATGATCTGATTGTCTCGCTGTCAGTTACGTCCCAGTTTGACTGTTTCAAACTTAATAGCTTTTTGTTAGATAGCAGCCAGTGGTATTAAATTATTAGTCTTACCTAAAATCCCTCTAAATGTCAGACAATTAACTTCACCTTTATGCATCAACGTGATCTACAAGAACTGATCCGTTCACAAAATGCTTGTAGCATATAGGGCACTGAAGCAGAGACTAAGTCAAGCATTAAATGTCTTGGAAGAGTTCTTTCCTCTGATGTTTCTTTGTCATCCTATATCTTGCTGATTTCTAATAAAATATTCTGTCTAATACATTGAGAAGTTAAGACAATCTGGAATCACTTAACCTCTACTTTTAAAGTTTGTTGACTCTTGCATCTTAATTATTGTACTTTACTGCTTCCCCTTAGTCTATCTTGGAATACTACTCAAAAAGGGCTGTGTCATATTGCACAAGATATTAAAGATTGTCAGTAGGATGAGTGGTGTGCCAATTAGTCAGCTCATTATTACTGTAGTCGATAGATTCATGTGAGAAATGTGATTATCAACATCCACTCTATTCTCGACTCTCCCCTTGCATCTCAACAGGCAGGACTAGAAGTCACTATAAAAGATTATATGCTCGTACAACCAAGGACAGAAAATCAACAACACCATATTCGGCCTGCGTCTCATGTGATAATGTTAAGCGCGAAACCAACAACTATGTTATTAGCAAAATAAGTGGCTCTTTTATTCTCTCCTATTTGTAATCTATGGTGACAATATTTCAATTAATTTATCATTTTAGCTATTAAAATTATTACTGTCATTTTGCACTTTTTATACATTTTTGACTTTATTGTCACTGCAAATACCAAAAAGCTGCTAATATCAATGCTGTAATATTATTTTTTTAAATTTTGTTTTCGCTGTTATCGAGTAAATAAGATGCAATAATATTGTACCAAATGCTGAGAATTCCACACTGTATCATGAGTACTGTTTTGGAATAGGATGTCGACTACTTAAAAGATTTGTGAGGATGTTTTCCAGTTCTATTACAACTGTATCTATAGAGCAGATTTTCCGAATTCCGAAGCATAGAGAAAGGATAAGATTTCTCTTTCTGTCTAGAGGTACCCAACTGTTGAAATTAGTTTACTGCGTTGTAAATGTTGGCTTTCGGCAGGTGCCATCCTCTCTTGTGTCTAGCGTAACACCTAAAAAGTAGAGCACGGCATTTGACTCCTCTTCGACAGCGAAAAGCTTAGATGGATGAGAACCATTAGATTTTTCGAGAAGTTCAGCAGTTGAACAGTTATCATCACAAATAATAATGGTGTCGTCCATATATCTTCTATACACATGCACACTCAAGATAGTTTCTTTCAAAGAACTATTATCCAAGCTCGTTATGAAGACATCTGCTAGGAGAGCTCCTAAGGGAGACTTCATGCCATCTCAGTACCCTTGATTATAGATGATGTCGTCAAATTTACATCCCACATTAAGCGTACATCTGAATATTAGCTGCTTAAAACAGTTTGTTGGCAATCCCGTGTGCATCCTTTTTAGATCAATGTATTCACATAGATAACAGTCTTTCCACTAGTGGTACACTTGTAAATAAGGGGGAAATACTTAATGAAATCATATGCCTACCGGTCACATTAATTCCATCAACGAATTCGTCCGATAAACCTACTTTATGCTGAAGCATACTGTTAGAATGACGAATTTAATGACAGTTGGAGTAGTAAAAATCCAACATATTTGTCTTTACAACTGTTGGAAAATCAGGCAGTTTTCATATGTTCAATAGCTTTTGAAATACAAGATATTTTAGGAATTAGTTGTGTTCTCTGAGCTGGTTGCGAAGCTTTCCTCATCCTTCTGGACAACATCTTCAGGGCAATTTTTGGCATAAAATGAACTGATTTAAATTCTCCATGTATGATAGAATTGCGTCTCCTGGCAACTATCTTCATGACTGGCAGTCGGTTTACATCTGTACTGATCATTTTTTCTTGACTTGGAGTGTGAACTTTCTTGTCATGTGATTTACTTTTTATTAGTTGGCAAATTTGGTCTATATAAATATTAAAACAATTAGTCCTTTTGATAAATTTGAATAAGGCATTTAGAAGACAAATTTCGCGAGATGATATCATTTCGTAGTTTCTTTACAACCGCTTTACAACTAACATGGTTAACAATAATCAAATAAAGGTCATGACAATTACTCAGTTATATAAAACAAAAGTACATACTGATGACCAGTCATATTTAAATAGGTCAAATAGTCCATGGTAGGCGAAGATTGAAGTCTATTGATTTTTGTACACACAGTTTAGGCTGTATGTGATTAATCCAAAGTGCTTCCATCACCTTCAGTAACCTTGAATTAGAGTTATATGAAGTAATTGTGAAACAGTCATTAATATTGATTTTGTGACCTGACATTAATAAGTGCTATGCAATGGATGATGATGAATTTCTATTCAGACTAACTGCATTGGGATTTTCTGTGTTTTAATAACCATTTTGGAACATGATCTTTTCTATGAAATCGGAGCATTCTCCTGTTTCTACCCATATAGGTATCACCGCAACTACAGGTGAACTTGTAGATATAGTTTTGAAGTAGAGTCCGCATAACTTCGTCCTTTAATCGTCGATACAAGAATCGAAAATGTTCGAGATGTGGGAGAAAGAGATGCGGTGTAGAATGTGTGCTTGTTGGCTGACCGAAGTCTTTGAGATGTCAACTGCATAATTTGATCACCACTGAATGGTAGGTTAATAAAGATAGCTTTCTTTGGTACAGTAGCTGTCTTATCAAGATGTGTTCCAAATCATCCACCTGAGCTGAGAAGCTGGTCATGTTTTAATTAAGTGTCTCTTGTGGATTACACCAACCAGAGATCCTAATACTAATGAGTGGGTGTGAATCGAGTGCTGTGTAGCCATACTATACGACTAAGGTCTCTGTGTCAAGATTCGCATACTAAATAACAGGCTAAGTAAAGAAGTGTTTTTTCGAAAGCTCCACATACTTCATTGCCTTAATAAATAAATCTAAACCAAATAAAGCTATCTACTGGGGCGTTTTTCATTCATAAAAAAATGTAAGAGCTGTCACTCTTATCACCTTGTCGGTATGGAATTCTGTAGATGCCTGGAATATACTTTTCTGACTGGCATTGATCCCCTACTTTACGAGGAAATTACTGGCTAAGATGACTATTTCTGGGCGGTTCGCTTTCAACAGAAAACTAGACAGTATTTGATGTCTTTTGACAGAACCGATCCTTTACTTTATCCGAACTGCAACTGAATATGACGTAAGTAAAGATGATGAAAATAGATTTTGATGGGTATCAACCTTTCGTCTGGCGAACAGCTGCTTATAAAATAGTACAAGCCGAGACAGAAAAAGAATGTTGGATGATGATCGGGAAAACTAGGTGTGCGTTTATGGAAGGAGTCTTAAATTCATTTTGGCTTTCTTTATTCTCTTTCATAAGTAAAGTTATTTACCACTACGCATACTCACTTCAATATGTCGTGATAGTTCATGAGCATATATAGTCCTGGGACTGTTAGGAAGGCAATTGCTAACAAACCATGCCACAAGTTTGGACTTTCCTTTGGCGAAATCTCGTTCAGGAAGAGGATATTTTGTATGCGGTCCATCAGATTTCACTGAAGGTTGATATAATCCATATGGTGATAAGACGGAAGAATCCAGACGATAGGATATGGTAAAATTCACCTGCATAATGATTAATCAATCTATAGAATTAATTTCAAAAATTGGTTAGTAACAAAGCATTTAATGAAATATCAAGTAGCAATATAATGGCTTGTCATAGATTATCAAGTTCTATTGAAAGTAAACTATGCATTTAATAAATATGCTTTATCATTAATCCATCATGATTAAGATTTCACTTCACTGGCGTACTGAAAACAAATGATGAGGTTGTCAGTTAAAAGTTATAAAGTTCACAAATCAGTTTTTTGCAAGGATGAAGTAATTATGTTTTTATGTTTTCCACGAAATCTCCTGTAGAGTAATACAAGTGAATATTACTTTGTGCATTCACACGTGGTGAGAACTCAAACGGCAGTGCAAGACAACTCTGACTGACTGACTGACCGAGTTTTAAATGTAGAACCTTGCACAGAAGTGCAGGAGTTTAAATTGTCACAATACAAAGGTAGAGAAAAGAAAAATTCAAAAGAACTATAGTGAGGAGATATGTAGGGAGAAAGAATAGTAATACTGGGATCTAATGGATATAGGAGATTACAAAGAGTGAACGTATCTGCTCTAAGGAAGACCGTTTTGAGCAATAGAACCAACAGTCTTAAGCTACCGACTCTTAGGTTCTCAGCGACACCCCAGCTAGACATTCCAGACCTCCCTGCATGGCCCATGTGAACCACTAAATACTTCATAGATTGACATCAGCTCTTAATCCGACCAACCCTAAATTCTTGCCAAGCTAATCCGATGTCAGCTAACATTTCTCGACGAGTTCGGTGAGAGTTTGGCTTGCGTAACATATGTCGTAGCCATCTCAATCGATGTAGTTGCACAACCTAATTGATTGCTTTTCCCCCCTTACCTAACGCTTTACACACAACCTCAAAATTACGCATTATATTAAACCACTTAACAAGGAAGGTAGAACGAAAACATCTATCATCAAAGACAACCAGCCATTTCAAGCATCCAACTATCAACGACCAAGTCTCAAAGATAAACAGTGACCTGCTGCGTGGTATACATACCCTTTGATCAACAGCCGGATATCAAGCCTACACCTGAGATGACGATTTGGCAAATGCCATATGAGCCCTTTTACATCGTCGGCTATTAGTTCCTTTGGGCTGATGCAACTTACCAAATAGGTGAAGTGGTCAACACGAACAACCGATTCACTCTCTATTCTTAAACTAGGAGTTGTTGCAGACCACTCATCTAGCATAATCTTACATTTGACAGAAGTGAATTTGTCGATAAAGAAAGTTTTCTCCGCTGAATTGTCTTTTATTTTCTTCATGACATGAGTGAATCTCATGTCAAATACACCAAGATTTCTGCTCAAGTTATCCAGGTGGTGATGCATTTTGTCAGTGTTATCACCTAGATGGGCAATATCATGTGTATACTCTAAATTATTAAGACTTTTCGCTGGTAAAAAGTCAATCCTTAAGCCGTTGAAGTTTATTACCATCACAACCAATAGTACATCTATAATGAAATTTAACAAAGACATCACGCGTATATGACAGACACCACCAGTTAGTGTCACCTCAGATAACAACCCTCCATAAGCTATTACACGGCTGCATAAGTTCAAAAAGATCGCTTTGCTATACATTCTCCGCCTTCAGATGAAAAATATGCCTATGCTCCAGAACCTGTTAATAAGTGGAGATATGATCAATGCACCTTTGCCTAGGCCTCAAGTCTACGTCTTCTTCAAAAAGTTTATTCCTCTCGAGCACCGCATGGTTACTGTACGTAAAACTTTAGGTACTGTGCAAATCAAGCTAATAATGCTATGATTATCACAAGAAGAGTTGTCTCCCTTCTTATAAACTGGGATAATCAGTGCCACATTGGATAATTTTGTTTTATATAACACACGGTGATAGAGTATTGATAACTGAATGACGTTTCGAATACTATTTATTTTAGAACAAGACATATAAGCGAACAGTATTGTTTTCAATTAGATCTTCTTCAGGCTTAACTCTAATTTACATAGATTTATATGTAAAAAATTTAACCAATGACGGTGGGTTTGTAGATCAATAATAATAATAATGTGATAAATATAATTGGTGGATGGTGACTAGCAGTGGAATCCAGGGTGCGCATTTCGTCCTATTTCAGACTCGTCATCTGGATGCACCTGTATTCCCCAGTGAGTGATGATATTCCCACCTAGGCTCGAACCCAGTGACCATAGTTTCCAACGCCAAAGCGTTATCCACTAGACCACTTGGGCCACGAGAGCCATCTCCTGTGCAACGGGTCATATTAATTATTTAATTGAATTTTAGATTTTCCCGTAGATTGATTGGACCGAAGTGCTCGGTTTAATTACATGCCTAGACATCGTCGAAGCGTCTGCACAAGAAGCGGACATGTCAACCTGAGACCGAACACTTCGGTCCAATCAATCGACGGGAAAATCTGAAATTCAATTAAATAAATGTGACAAATATTTTGGACGTCAGTAATAACGATGATTATACTGATAACAAAATAATAATAATAAGGTTTATGCAGGTGGTGATAAGAATAATGAAGGTAGTAATATTTGTATATGTAGACAATTCAATAAGTGAATGAATTAGGTCATATCTTAAAAGTTACGTAATACTAAAGGTGAAGGGGATAGATAATCAAAGAATGAAGGAAATGTAAAATAAGAAAGGGTGGGAGGGTTTTAATTATACTTTACCTAGTCAAGCAAGGCAAAGACAAAAGTAGAACAAACTTCTTTTGTATGCAAAGACTAGGGTTGTTCCCCTGAATTCACATAGCTTCGGCTACACATTAATTAGTTTCTGTAACGCCGGAGGTTTCAAATTGGTTATTCTGAAACGTGAGTCTATGGGCCATTCCCTACTATTTTTTGAGTAGAAAGATCACACGGTGTCATTCATGATCACAGAAAACCTACGAATGACATTAGATAAACAGGTGGGTTAATCAGACCTATATCAGAAGTTCATAACAAAAATTTCTATCTAGAATTTTACACTTCTTTACAAGCACACTAAAAGTGATAAGCTATGACAAAATATAATAGGTAATCCCCGATAGAGACATTCGAATATTCTTATTGACTAAATAAATCTCAAAGTATCGTGTAAGTCACTCATATCAATACTAATTGATGAGTCATAAACGTTACTTGAATAAATATCAAAGAGATACTGTTTACTCACTCTGTCTCCTAGATCATCCGCAATTTTGATATGTGCAGGGGATTCATGAACTAAAGTAAACCACAACTGATTTCGACGACGTAGTCCTTTCGGATATTGCTCATCCGTAAGAATGATAACATCAGCCTCACGCCACTTAGTTCGATCAGTAGTTACTTTACACTTAGAAGCATGACAAACTGAAAAATCCATACCAGTAGAAGGGAAATGAACTCCATAGACAAGGATATTCTTTTCCTATATTTAAAAAGAAAAAAATTGTACACTTTTTTTTAAATTTCGACCTAAAAATGAAACGCCGTGACACATCAAAGTGTAGAAGATTTTGTTGAGGACTGGAAATTAGAATACCGTGTAATTTAGGTGAGAAACAAAAATCACTATTTAGACATTTGAAAGACAAAAGGATGAAGATAAGTATTTACTTCTCATTTAGATCCCTGTTGGTTGTTGTACTTTAATAATAATAATAATAGCTTCATTTCAAAGAGTACTTTCGGTGCAAATATGGAATTTTCAGCATGTAAGACAATATTGCATCTAATTTTCTCATTGCAGCGGCAATAATTATCAAATACGGCATTTACATTAATAATAATGTTCAATAAGAAGTGAATATAAAATTAAATCAAGTGGAAATATTAACTACAATTCAACAACGAGAATAAAAATATTGTTCGAGTGGGGATTTTTCATGAAACAACAAAAATGCCGTTTACTTAGAGTTCCTCATTAAGTTGGTAATTTCCTGTCTCATATATATTTGGCACCTCTATCTAAGCTAGAGGAAGTATTATGATATGAGACGACAAAGGCATCTAAAGTACACCTACTTTGTTAATAAGCAAATTGACTAGATTCGTTGAAAACCTTCAATGAAAGTTCAAGGTTAAGTAAAAGCAGTCTTTCCATTATTTTTAAAAAGGTGAAGTATTGGCAATAGGTGTGAACTTAACAGTTGGTTCACTTGATGATTTAGGCACAAGAACAATTTTAATATCCTTCTAAGAAGCAGGCACAGTGTTACTGGAAAATGATTCATTGAAAATACCAGTGAAAGGATGACATAAAATGTCGGCTCATTTATTGACGATAATACCTGGTACACCATTTGGATCATGGGACTGCGTGGGTTTCAAGGATTTGAGACACTTGAAGACATCGTTTGAGTTCAAACCAGAGAAGCAGTCATTGTTTGCACTTGTAGCATTTGAGATCACAACATCAGCTAGAAGACATATGAATGACTTATTAAGAGTACCACCAACGACTGTAGAATGATCATTATTTATTTGCTTACGCCCGGTGATTTCCTTAAATAGCTTCCACATATTTGATGAAGTTTGGCGTGACAAAAACTTCTGGTTATAGATCTTATTTAGTCTCTGTATTTCTGATTTAATTCAGATGTTCAGTCTCTTAACACCCGGATTGTGTTTCATTTTGTATAACCTTTCTTCTCGGCGAAGGTTTTTGAGCTGAGAAGAGGAGAACCGGTCAGATCTTAAGAGGAGTGTCTCTTTTGGACAGTAAACATTAAGACAGAATCTGAGGTAAGATGTTGCGTTTGTGATTCTCTCATCTAGAACTTGTTCAACAAATAATTCCCATTTTGTATTATTTAACATGTTTCTTAGATTCTGTATATTGTCATGGGAGTAACATCTATGTTGCGTTTTCTTGCCGAGGTTCGCGGGGACCCTTTTTGGGCAACATACTTATGATACAATGATCAGAATTTAAGTAGTAGCGCTCTTTTTCGAGTTTCATATATGCCAAAGTCATTTGTAAACACTAGATCAAAGGTATTTTCTGGTCGAGTTGAGAAGTTGATAATATTTTTATGACCTAATGATGTAAGGAAACTGTGGTTACAAGGATTGAAGTCGCCAGTAACTATTAACAAGGAGTTTCCAAGGGAGGGAGCAGCAAAGGAAGTAAAACCGTCAGCAAATAAAGACAGTTCTGAGAGGCTACATCCAGGAGCAATAGTGTTATATATCGTATATATATGTACACACATATATATATATATATATATATATATATATACGATATATATATATCAGGTTCAATATAATACAGACATTTGTCGGTCTAGTACTGATTATTAATCATTATTAACACATCAGGGGAGTAGTAATAAGCTAAAAAAATTATTAATACAACAATAAAAGGATTGAAATAATTACAAAAATAAAACAAGTGGATTGCTTAAAGCAGAATTTTGGAGAAATGATTAGATGGGATACAATCAGTGATCAAATGATGAAGTAAGCAAAACAATTAGCTAATTAGAACAAAAATAATTTGTGAGTGGCATAGGAGAGGGAGAAATTCTCGGCTTCTACATTCATTCAATTATGGCAAAGGTAACGAAATTGGCTGCGAAGCTTACTTCTGAACCCAGGTGGATTCCAATGGCTTCAGCTATATGTAGCAGACAAGCTCGCAAAGAAAAACTAGGATCAGTAGCAATGCGATAAATAACTTTAAATGTCTTTTTAACACAAAATTGTGTCCAGTATCAACGAGGAGTGTCAAAAAGTGTTATGAATAAACCTTGCTTGGTCTCTGTCTACCCATCTACGACGATTTCCGTAATTTGCAATTAATAGTGTTCTCTGAGCTGGTTGGCTTAGTTGCGGAGCTTTCGTCGTCCTTCTGGACAACATCTTCATCGCAATATTTAGCATAAAGTGAACTGATTTAAATTTTCCATGAGTGATATAATTGCGTCTCCCGGTAACCATCTTTACATATGTATTGATCATTTTCTATCGACTTGGATTTTAAACTTTCTAGTCACATGATTTACTTTTTATTAGTTGGTATATTCGGTTTATGTTAATGTGTCTGTTAGTTGCATATTCGTTTGAGTACCAGGCTTCTAGGAATTCCCTGGCACTTTTGGTGTTTCCTCTGTCTAAGATCTCGACATTATCCCAATCAAACTGATGTCTACATGCATTGATATGAAAGAATATATATCGTGTCTTTTCACGGCTGATTTGTGTTCCTGGATTCTGATTTGAAGGGGACGCCCACTTTGGTCGATGTAATGCCTGTTACAGTTCATACAACTTATTTTGTAAATGGTATTAATCTTATCTTCTTTTTCTGTTGGATGAGTCTTTCGGTTTGCATAATATCGAATTAAGCGACTTGACTGGCTTGTGCACTATATCTATATCAAACGGCTTCATTATTCTAGTTGTTATTTCAGAGATATTTTTCATGTATGGTAGGATGAATTTTCTGTGCTTCCTTAGAATCATCACTCAAATTATCAAAATTAAATGAGGAAGTACAACAAGAAATACGCCAATGTATCATACCTATACTCAAATAGAAAAGATATAATTCCCAACTTAGCACTGAAGAGCAAAATGTATTGAAGAAACTGAAGAATAGAAAAGAAATAGTTATTCTACCGGCTGATAAAGGACACAGAAGACTACATAAAGAAAGGAGAGGATTTACTCGAAGATAATAATGTATATCAACAATTGACGAAAAACCCTATACAAACATTAGATAACAAAATCAAAACAACGTTAAATAAACTAACGAAATCAGGACAAATTACAAAACAAGATCAATGGCGAATGAAATCTAACGGACCTATTTTTACCTCGATTCTATGGCAGACCAAAACTGCACAAACCAAGCATTCCCTTACGACCAATCGTTTCGCTTCCAGGAACATTAAACATTTAATCTATCTAAAGAACTTTTCAGGAAATTAAATTACCTAACAGAATCATGCGACCATTCTATCAATTCGTCAATCGAATTATTGATATAAAACACAAAATAATCGAGCAAAGAATATTCTTTTCGATAAATTCCTCTTCTAGGCTCTACAATTACATATGTTTATATACACAGAATATTTTAAATTAGTAGTTAATAACAATATTAGTGTTTTTTTAAATAATATCGATTTGTAAAGTATGATCAATGCTATTGCAGTTCATTAAAGATGCTTAAATTATAATAATAATAATAAAGATATAACAGCGAATAGAATATCAACTAAAATTAGGGAAATTTCACAAAAATTCTGGATCATTCAAACCTAGCTGGCCAAGGTAATGATAATGACTGAACTAACTTCTTTTGGATGCACAAATTAGGCCTATTAATATGAATCGCCACAGCCTCAGCAGTATTTAGTAGTCGAACTATTAAAGCAAAATTGAGATCCATAGGTATGCGGCAAATGACCCTGAAAGCCTGGTTAACGTCAATCTTGTGTTCTGTATCCACAAGATGAGCCAGAATAGCGCTGCGAATAGATTTTGTTTGACCTTTGCTTAACCAGGCAGGGTGATGTTCGGAAATACGACGAGAAACACGCCTAATTGTACGGCCGTACAATTATATACTTCAATTAGTCCAAAACTAGCAACAGAAACTATGCAACAATTACTCTATAGTGATGAAAACATAAAAACGCAATTATCAACTTAGATAGAACTCATAAAATTATGCTTTACAACATACTTCCAATTCAATACTCAAGTATACATGAACAGATAAAACGAACAACATTGGATTCGCATATCAGGATTAATAGCCGAAGCCGTCATGCAAAGATTATAATTAATAGCTCTACATATAATTAAACCGAATATCTGGGTACATTACGTTGATGATACATTTGTAATAATTAAAAGAAATGATTTAGAATATACGCATAAATTAATAAACAACATATTTGAAGACATCAAATTCACAATAGAAGAAGAACTAGGTAACAAAATCCCATATTTAGATGTCCTTATCAAGAAAACCAACACAGGACATTTAGAAACACAAGTATATAGAAAATCAATGCACATAGATCAAATATTCAACTATACTAGCAATAATCCAATTACTCACAAGAGAAACTGTGTGCAGACATTGTTTAAAAGAATTGAAACACACTGTATCACTCCAGAGTTGAAAAGAATGGAAGAAAAATACCTACAAACGGTCTTCAAAAAGAATGGTTATCCACAGAATTTCATCAAAAAGTGTTTAAAATCGAATCATAACACCAACAAGAAACCAACATCAAAGACCACAAGAAAATTCATCCTACCATACATGAAAAATATCTCTGAAATAACAGCTAGAATAATGAAGCCGTTTGATATAGATATAGTGCACAAGCCAGTCAAGTCGCTTAATTCGATATTATGCAAACCGAAAGATCCAACAGAAAAAGGAGATAAGATTAATACCATTTACAAAATAAGTTGTATGAACTGTAACAGGCATTACATCGACCAAAGTGGGCGTCCCCTTCAAATCAGAATCCAGGAACACAAATCAGCCGTGAAAAGACACGATATATATTCTTTCATATCAATGCATGTAGACATCAGTTTGATTGGGATAATGTCAAGATCTTAGACAGAGGAAACACCAAAAGTGCCAGGGAATTCCTAGAAGCCTGGTACTCAAACGAATATGCAATTAACAAACACATTAACATAGACCGAATATACCAACTAATAAAAAGTAAATCATGTGACTAGAAAGTTTAAAATCCAAGTCGATAGAAAATGATCAATACATATGTAAAGATGGTTACCGGGAGACGCAATTATATCACTCATGGAAAATTTAAATCAGTTCACTTTATGCTAAATATTGCGATGAAGATGTTGTCCAGAAGGACGACGAAAGCTCCGCAACTAAGCCAACCAGCTCAGAGAACACTATTAATTGCAAATCATCCACCTGAGCTACAAATCTTCTCTATGGTTTTCGTAATCTTAGACAAATTTTCCCACAGTCATAGTCTCACACCAATAACAGTATGTATATCACTGTTTATTGGTGGTGCTCCATGTGTCCATGGTAATTTAATACGTGTTGCATTTGTCACATGAATGAATTGCTGGATGAACGTCATTAGGAAAACTTTTGTCAGGTGGTGAACTCTCATGTTCCATTTCGTCGAAGATAGTGGTGGACGTAATTATTACGTTCATCTTATTTCTTTCAGAATCAAGTCAAAATAGAAAGATGAGGGAAAATTTGACTACCATTTCTACTGACAACTAAAAACTCTCCAGTTACCCACTAATCAATAACAGACTGATTGGAAGATTGATATCAGACTGCCTTCTCCAGGGTTTCAAACCATCAGCCTTAAGTAACCATAAAAGACATTTATGAATGCCCATCATTAAGTGCATTTCTTGAACAGAAGAGGGTTTTGTCTCTAAAAGAAATGTGTGACAAGCAGATCTTTGAAAGCTTCCATTTTTGATATCTTGATAATCCTAACCAGATAAATTACAACTGTTTGGAGGTTAGAAGAGTAAGTATGTATGATCTATGAATTTCACGCGACTAAGGTGCATCGATCGTACAGCAGTTAGGACTCTCGCAGACAATGCACATGGTCCGGGGTTCGATCCTCTGCCGACGCACACCTGATATCAATGGTCGGCTTGCAAAATGTGGGCTACCGATATTACATGCTGCAAATTCCATACTTGTACAAAAAATACGTGCGGCATCAAGCTATAATCAAAAAACATTTTAAAAAGTTAGATCCTTCAAAATTTTTGCCAGTTAATTCCTGACTGATAGCCTATCCAGCTTGTCTGTAGTTACACATAGTAAAAGCAGTCCTCAAAACAGGACTTAGAAATATGGTTAAGAAGTCCCACTCCTTTAGTCCAACTATTATTATTATATTATTGATCCCTTGGGTTCCGAGTGGAACAAAGAGATTCAACTACAGATCTCCACTTTATTCTCTTCTTTGCCATCCTCTTTAGCTGGATCCACGATTGTTAGTCAAACTAGTATTGTTCAGAAACTGCTACAGAAAGTTTTCTATAGTGTAGTTATTCTGTATGATTAAATTCACAAAGAAAGAGTAGCATTAGGCAAAGCTACTCTTGCTTGACCAACCTACTATCGGAACGAGAAAGTTTCACAAATACAGCCGATGACAATAGACCGGTGGGTGTTATATTCGTGAATATAAGCAAGGCTTCCCATAAGGTTTCCCAATCAGGATATCCAGTGAAGTTAGGTAGTGTTGGAACTGATAAAGTGGTAAGAGGCTGGATTTAGGACTTCCTTAGACACAGACTGAGTATTGACAGCATCTTAATATCACGGTGACTAGTTAGGATAGGGGTGCTTGAAGTTGGGATCCCAGGCCCTCCTCTCTTCTTACTTTATGTAATTAAGATACTATTAACAGTTGAATTAAATGCCAATGATACTAAGCTCTACAGAGTCCAGACAATGATAATGATCGATTTGATTCGGTCGAGTGGCGTAAACATTGGACGTTGGAAATAATTCCAAGAAAGTGTGTAGTTATGCATGTTGATCGAAACGACATTCAGAACTACTCAAATAATGGCATACTCTACCTACCGAGTAAAAGGATTTACGAACAGTTTTGCAACAAGACTTAAAAGATTGAGCTAGATGTAGAGCAGTGGATGCGAACGGTATTAGAATAGTATGGGTTCCCTATTCTACCTTCGTAAGTTTTGATGCTGATACATTTCATATACTGTATTCAGCCTACATTAAATCTCATTCAGAATACACGATTGAGTGACAAGTACATTTTTCAAAAATAAATCAGACACTGAAATGGTACAAAGATCGGGGACTAAAGTGACCAAGGGATTCTCAAACTTTTCATATACGGAAAGATTACATCGACTGGGCTTGTTCACAGTTACAGTGCCGTTGAAGGGCAAACTCATTTTGTATTAAAATTGGATCGCTAGAATAGGACAGTTGCGAAGACATCACTTTAGAGTTCAGAGACCACAGTCAAACCGTCTACGTCTGGAATTGTTTCTCACATTAAACTGGTGGAATTATTCGCCAGAGCACTCATTATGAGCATTTTCTCTTGACTTATTCCAGACCGAATTGAAAGTCCACTGTACAGCAGATTGAGAGGCATAACAATCGATTTCCCTGGTTATCTATAAGCTGTAAGAAACACCACGCATCGCCCAGTGTTTTTGTTGCACGTCATGTTAAAGTCAGCCAACAGGTTCACATAACAACAGTTTTTATTCACAAATTGTGTTTTATAGGATAGTTGTTGTGGGGACTGAGATGACTGCATAGATAACAACTGGTCAATCACGAACATGATACCAAATCAAGCCGAAAGAGTGCTTTGGGTAATGCAGTCATTAGGCAAAAAAATCTATAATAAGATGTTGAGTCTTAGTCAACTGTTTACTACTGCATATTAAGTAAAGAAATGATCACTTCAAGAGAACTCCTGAAAGTAAAAGACGACTGTTCACTTTAGTCCATGAGTTAAAATTTCAAAACGAACAGAATTATTACAGTGTGCAAGCTGTGGTCATTGATTAATTAAGTGATTACACCCAAACGAATAATAATCTAGAAATAATGTTTAGGAATGCAGCATTCATGGTGTACAGAAATAGTGAGTGTACCGCCAAAAAGCTGTATACAGTACGGGAAGTCGTTCCATTTAAGGGTTACTAGTAAAGTGAATCATTGTAGAAGAGAAGCATTATTTCTGTACTTTCGTTAACTATTTGCTCTCCAAATAAAATATTTCACGGCAACTTTAGGATTTTTGGTAGTTTAAGGGGTCTGGGTATTTTTCAGAGAAAAATAATTCATTTCCCCATAATCTATGTGTCTAGCTGCCTCCAAAAACCCCGAAATCGCTACCAATCTTTTTTATGTGGGTCATTATTGTAGACTTGAGCAGAAATAATTAAAAAATTGCACATTCGAAAAATAACCAGATGAACATACTTTCACCGTAGTATTGAAATTGTTTTTGGTATCGTAGAATGTTTCCAGTGCACCTCTTTGATAAGCTATCTTCTCTTTAATGTTATCTTGGTTAGCAGGAATATCTCTGAAAAAACGAAATGCCATGAAGCTGTACATGCACATACAAATCCAAATTTTTCGAGGATAACCACGAATGATCCCCTTCCGATCCATCTTGCGCATAAAGGCTAAGAACTGAAGAAGTGTCAAAAACAGTCAAGATATTCCACACTAGCAGCAACGCGAATGCACTGATTATCAAAACAGCTATTCGAAGGCGAGATGGTATGAGTCTCATTTTCTCAATCTGATTTATTGTATAACAACCAATTTTTATGCACTAAAAACAATTCCGTATATAAGTCTCGAGAATAACAAAAGGATATAAAATAATAAAGCTGGCGGCTGGAAAATTAGACAATGCAACCATAGCAACGTTCAGTATCCAATGTTTGCTTAGGAAGCATTTACAAGCGAAATTCTTTTCTCACGACTGTCTGCGTTGTTTTATGTTTCATATTTTTGGCTGAAATTTTGAACGATCAGTTGTATTACTTGTCTGAATGTACCTTAGTGAACTCTGAAAGAATAGCAAAAAACTAATTTTCACTATCTTGACGTTTACTTCAGGAAAGTGATAGTGCTGTGGTCACTATCAGCCATTTTTTAACTAATTTCGGATGTGGCACCGGAAACAAGAACAAACTAAAAAATATGAAATTGGGTTAGAAGGGAGAAAAATGGTGACGGTATAAAAATAACACTGAAAAAACGAAAACTAGATAATTAAAAAGTGAATTTGGGCAAACTAAAATTATTTGACAGGACTGCTAACTACCTGAGCGCAGCCCCTAATATCCTGCATAGCCATCTAGTCATTATTTGAAGTACCCTACAGACAATGTAGTGAACGAAAGCTTGCAACGGCATATACATTAATGGTGCAGATTCTGTTTGTGATGAAGTGAACTGCAGTTTTTTTCTGGGTGTCACAATGAGTTTCATCGCCTACTAAGTCAATCCTCTTGGTTGCGAATCTCCTACAGTTTCCAGGTTTTTAAATGGTGATAAATTCGTCACTCACACAATAGTAAATAAATGTCTAGAGGACGTCAGAGTTTATACTGCTTACTGGCTCCACACTATGAAAGTCTTCCCTTCTCTTCTTGAAGTGTTACTATAATTTTAATTGGGCGGAGGAGATACAGAGAGATAACCGATTCTTGTAAGTCTTGTGAGGGCGTAGAACACTATTGGAGCTGTGAGTTTCCAGGCAAAACTGCAAGCCTCCTTTGAAGGCAGGCTATATGAGGCCGCCTCTAATCAAACAAATATTACCTTGGATTAATCCTCTATGTCTCATTTCACACGGTTTCACACCCACAAATCCCGTCCAATTACCTGAGCGCATACCTACAAATCGTATTTACTTGGTAAGGACAATGCCGTAGGTAAGTTTCCATTCCCACACTTTCTGAAAACTCGGAATTACTTCCTTCGTCTTCCTATCAGCTCGGAACTGTACTAACCATAACTCACAATACCAGTACTCATATGAACGCCCGAGTTATCACATGCCAACACTTACCCGTGTTTTATTAGAGCCTCTACCTAACACCGACAAGTTAGGTCGCACAAAAGAAACATGGAACATTGTCGCTTCGCCAAGATACTACTTACTGTGTTATTAAAAATATGAGACGTTACCATTCCTCGTAACTAGCTTTTATCACGCAATTACTTCTGGGTTCGTCGGAGCTAACGTAGTGATCCCTTATTGGTAAAACTGTATTCATCTGAACTCTGGGTGCACCTTCTAATAACACGTTAGGTATTTCATTGATCATGCAGTTGATGTAACATTTATATAGTGGCAAGTTTATTTTCAATGTTTGACATGTTTTGAGAGTATATTAGAAGTCTTGTACCATTCCTAGAATCTTATTAGCCAGAATGCCTGAATACACCTTTAAATTCATTCGTGCTTACAAAGTCAAGTGTCAGAAACTTCATGGTTTTATTCCCCTTGATGAATTTCATTAAGGCAAGAACAACAGTGGTTTGTGCTGAATACTATGGTACCATCATTTATTTCGTTGGCTGCTCATCATCTGCTTATGGCTTGCAAAATTTCTCACGGTATTAGTTGACAGAAGGTTCCACAATAGTGTGGAAACTTAGCCCACTTAAGGCACTAGATGAAAACATGCAGACCATTTGACAGTTCACCTGTCGATCACTTGTCGTATGTAAATCAGATTGTCTTATATGTATATAATCATGTCAATATCTGCTGCCACTTTAACTCAGAAATAAAGTTTCTTTTTCACTGACTGGAATTCTGTGGTATTTTCAGAAACAACAGAAATCAAATTGTGTTCCTTCTCCTAACGACGGAGCTATTCTCAACTAAGTGGGGACGCATGCGTCTGGGCAAAGTTTTTAGGAGAAAAGCAGGCAGCAATAGGAATTTGTAGTTTCACTTTGTATCTCTGAGGGGTGTAGGATAAGACTACATTGCCCATGACACAGTGTCACGAAAGTTTCAAATTTCATCTATTGGCAAATGGATCAGGGTGTGTCAACGTGTAGCCTCAGCATTCAGATACAGAATTAAATTTAGAAAATAAGATGAGGAAATAAGAACATCATTTTCTTATACTTTTCTTTAGCAATAGAACAGAAAATGAGCCTCATTGAGCGAAACTGATACCATACTGATAACCACTGATCACAGCATACCCTGAGATTAATGACATATGCTACTACAAAATCAGAACGCTAAAATGTTATGATTATAGTGATTTACTCCTAGTTTTTGTACATGGGGGACGCCACTTTAAAGGCATCATCAATATCAATAGCATATACAAGGAGAAAGCATACTCACAATTCTTCACTTACACATGATATGTATAAATGTAAGAAAGGTGATGAAATTATATCTATGATATAACTTAATGCGGGTGGAAGCAATGTACACTGTATAATACAAAGCATCGCCATTGAAGAAATTCAGCTAAATGCGCGTCATTTTTGAGGGTTACGTTACGTGTGATAGGTGTTACAAAATGAAAACTGTTATAGATAGAGTACTGAACATTTCTTTCCTTCCTCTCTTTCAGGAATTCACTCAGGAGTCCATTCCATGGAGCAAGAGGCACAACATCTAGCAGGTCTGAATATCAATGGTAACAGCTAGACTGCTTGTTTGTCAGGGCTTCACCCGCAATCTCTGATTTTTCCCACTGTACAAAATGCACGCTCTTACCGAGCTCTCGTTCCGATTCTCTTCCTGGTGTGACTGTCACTTGCAGTGTTGCAAAATGGTGTCGGAGGTGCCTAAATGGTCAAAATGATGAACTTTTCGTCAGATGGTGAACCCTTGAAGCTTTTTCCGAGGAATGCAGATCCACTATTCCTAGCGTGCCTGATGTTCGTCAAACCCCAGTCCTTGAACTCAACGCAGACTACTCATTTTGGAAGATGCGCATGCATGCTTTCCTCATTCTAGTTTCACTGGGCCACCATCACGTCCGCATCCGCAATTCTCTTTCAGATGAAGCCAACACACGAGCCGACGCTGCTGGTCACTAAAGCACGAACCCCACTAGCGAAAAATGGAGCATACTGGATGCCTGTTTCGACTCAAATTCGGGGCTCAACCAGCGGTGCTAAAACGTCTCAGCCCAGTTCAACTTCCTGGAGAGAATCCCTTAGAATACTTTCAGGTTCTGCAAACAATGGCGTCTCACGCTGACATCCATGGGGATGCAGCTAACAAAGAAACAATGTTGCGCACACATTTCGCTGAGGGTTTACTCCCTGGTGATCTGCGACCACACCTTCTGTGCCTACCCCAACGAGCACGTCAGACATGAAGCGCACGATCCTTTGGTTCATGGAGGCCGAACAAGATTATGCAGCCAAAACCAGCTCCTGCTGTACAGCCCCCACAGAACCTACAGCTACTACCGTTGGCTGATCTCATCACAATGCTTCTTTGGGCAACGAGCAAACGCGTGGAGATAACGACGCTTCCACCTGTTCCTACTGTCGAAGACTGGGTAAGAAGGCACCAGCTTCAACAAAGTAGGTCACCGTTTTATAACTTATCTACATATTCATGTAGTCGGGAACCACTAATGTTATGAAAACGCATCAGTGGAGTGCCCTCTAAAATACTCGTCGATACTGGTTCGTCGGTGTCACTCGTAGAGACTTCATTCCTCCTCCGCCCCAATACTCATCGCCAGTAGCCACCCACAACATCTTGATAGCAGCTCATGGTGCTAAAATGGAAGCCTGATCTTCCACTTGCTTACATATGGACCTTGGTGATCTAAATGTCCATCATCAGTTCTTTATCTATGCCCGGATTACATGGGACCTGATCTTGGGTGTAGATTTTGTTATGGCACATATCCCTCTTAAAAACGTTGCCCATTCCCACGTTATCAATGATTCAGTCTCTATAGCCCTACATCACTCTCAGCGACCGACCTCCTCTGAGTCAAACTTGTCCATGTCCTCTATCTTTAATCAAATTTCGGTCAAACCATCCTCCCCTACTCTCATTCGGGGACAAATGATAAAGTTTATTGAGGAATACCCCAATAAGTTTGATGAAGGGGATAATCCGGGACGCACTAATGTTGTACAACACCGTATTGATACGGGTAGTCACGCACCTGTGCGTCAACCGCCTACACGGATTCCCGTCCACTGTCAGCCCCAGTTAGATATGTTGAACGAAAATACCATCGTACTCTCATCTTCCCCATAAGTCTCAACCGCCGTATGGTAACAAAGGATGACTGTCTCCAAATATGTATTGACTATCGAAAATTGAATGCCGACATCAGACGTGATGACTGAACTTATCCCTCACGTTCAGGGTCATTGGTGGAGTAAGACACCTGGAGGTCATTTTTGTCCATGTTAGTCGGCCATGTTGGACTGTAGGTCTCAGATTCAGATTATAAGAATAGAAGGCTCTCGTTGCTTATGTTAATCCTTGCGATATACATCTCTTTGAAAGAGTCCACCGATGGAGCTGTTACCACTGTATCCGGTAGGGAATTCCAGTCGTTGATCACTCTGTTTGGGAATCTAAATTCCACTTGTTTTGTAGTCGACCTCGGTCTGAGCACCTTTTGTGGCGACCATGTTATTGTATCCTAGAAGGAGAGAAAAGGTTTGAAAGGTCAATCCTTAAATCGCCCTTTAATGTACGATAAGCCAAAATTAACTCCATTATGGGTAAGATTTCATTTTGATAATCACACAGTGTTGTACAGTAATATTAACTGATGACGTTTCAAGCATAAACCATTGCTTATAATCATATCATCCCTTATGATTATGAGAAATAGTTTATGCTCGAAACGTCATCAGTTAATATTACTGTACAACACTGTGTGATTATCAAAATAAAATCTTATCCATAATGGAGTTATGCTCTACCACAGTGCCCAAGTTTCATACTTATAAGCCAAATTAAGTCGCCTCTTCCTCTTCTTCGGTATGACAACGGGAAGAGATTTGAATGCTCCATCCTCTTATCATAAGGATGGTATGAGATACCACTAACTAATTTCGTTTCTACCTTCTGTACTCTTTCCAGGATATGTGCCTCCTTTTTGAAA